CTACGTGGAAAGCAGAATAGCAGAGTAGTGTATCTATAAAGACTTTCCTTAGTGTATCTGTAAAGATAGAAATCCCTTTCCCAGCATGTTCTTCTCCCTCTCACAGTGGTTCATTGAGGCTGCAGAACTCTTGCATTTTCTTTTCATGTGCCATGAACCTATGCCATTTCTATTACATTAATTTTTTTCTGTAGCAATAGGAATGTGCATGGGGAACAGCATTTGTCTTTTAGAAAATAGAAGATATTGCCAGCAATTTATTCTTTGCACTCTATAATTTAGATTTAAACAAATTAAATATTTGAATAGTGAGGTGAAGGGTTGTCCAGTGGCTGAGGCAGTAACCTGGACTGGGGAGTTCTGGTTCAAGTTCTTGTTTTGTGTGAGAGGGGAAGAGAGAGCCCCCTCTGACTTTCCCCATGCCCCACCTTCCCCGACTCATCCCGTTACTGCAGAGGAAGTGATGGGCAATAGCTGCGGCAAAGCACTGAGACAGCAGGCTCAGGCACAGCAGTTCTGGAGCTGTCTGAGCCTGCAAATCAGCAGTGAAAGGGGGCATGGCCAGACAGAGGCATGAGCTGTTCAAAAGGTAGCTGGGAACACAGCTGGGGCATGCTCAGGAAGGAGAGAGAACGCTGATAGGGAGACGCCGGGGGATGCTGGTGGGGTAAAAGCCTGGAAAGAAAGAGCAAAAAATGGTGAGCTGGAACCTGGTGGATTTAAGAATTCCAAAAATGATGGCTGAGGATGACCCAGAGGCATTCCTAGAAAGCTTTGAGAGGGCCACAGTGGCAGCTGGCTTGGCCAAGTCCAGGTGAGCAGTGAAGACAGGGGTGTTGTTGGTAGAACCAGCCCAAGCAGCCTACTGAGCCTTGTTGCACCTTGAGGCTCAGGATTATGACTGCGTAAAAGACCAGTTTTTATCCTGCGTGGACATAACCCCCGAGTGGTACTGGCAGATGTTCCAAGAGTGGAAGAAGGAGGAGCAGAAGTCCCCTTGGGTACTCCTACAGAAATTAGCGGATCTCCTGGATAGATAGATCCAGCTGGCTCTAGCATCCTGGGAGGAGATTATGGATGCCTTCCTGTTGGAGCAGTTCCTGGCAGACTTGGAAGAGAACACTCAAAGACAGGTGTGCCGCCATCGCTCCAAAACATCAAGGGATGCCCTGCGGTTGGCAGAAGACTTTGATTGTGCCTAGAATAAGGTACCTTTAATCGGACACCCGCTTCAGGGGCAACCTGCTTCTGGTGCGGGAAGAGAGGCTGCTTTGTGCAGGAGTGCATAATGAAGCCATGGCTCTTTGCCTCAGAGACAGATGAGTGAAGGGATATTAAAGGTAACCGTCTCGTGCTGTAGGAGATGTTGCTTGTTGAAATGATGGACTGCAGCCTGGGTAGCACATCTGAAGCTCTACAGCAGGACAAACCCACCATGATGTGGAATAGTTTTGCGCCACGTGCCTCGAATACCAATGGGTCAGCCTTAGGAAACCCACTAAGATGCTACTGCAGACCACGCTGGTCGTCGCATATCCCTTCGCAAAGGTCATGTTAGACATCATGGGCCCTTCCCCCAAGATCATTGCGGGGGGCACCAATTTGTACCGGTGCTAAAAGATTGTGTGACCAGGTACCCCAAGGCCATCACGTTAAGATCAGCGACAGGCAGGCAAGTAGTGGAGGAGCTCTTGAGGTGGGTCTCCTGGGTTGGATTGCTCTGGCAAATTGTCACGGACCAGGGCACAAACTTTATGTTGACCGTGTGCCCGCCTCTGCTCCAAGAGGCGTTCCCGGGCTGTCTTTGTGTGAGCAGCTAACCGGGTCTGCCCCGCTCCCGTGGGAGGGTTCCCAGAGGGTGCCCCAGGGGACGGTGGCAGCTCCCCGGAACTCACCAGCCGCCGTCCCAACGGGACCCTCAGCAGCGGGATCCCACCCTCAGCAGAGGGATCCCACTTTCCGCGGCCTCCAGTGCCAACACGCCTTTGGCGGGCACTCACGGGGCTCCAGCCTCCCTACACCCCGGCCAATGCCACCTAGGATCGTGGGTTCTTCAGCCTCTTATCACTGGCCTGAGGACTATGCGTCCCGAGGCCCCGTTGCCCCTGTGGGCTCCCTCGCCGGCGTCCCTGCCGGCTCTTCCTCCGGCTCCCTCGCCGGTGTCCCTGCTGGCTCCTCCTCCGGCTCCGGCGTGGGCTACGCAGCTCAGATCCCCGAAGCTGCGGCTCTCTTCGTCCTCGCCGCTCCCGGTGCTACTGCAGTTTACCCTGCCTAAAGCAGAGACGCCCCGCAGGTGCCTGCTTCCGGCCTCGGGCTTCCCTCCGGCTCTTGCGCCCTCCTGCCCTCGACTCCTGCAAAGGGTAAGTAGGTGCTTCCCCTGGTTTTGGGCCGGGGTTTCCCTCTAGCTCCGGCGTCCCTGGGACAGACCGTTATGAAGGGGTTGTGCCAGATGCTACGCATAAACCACCTACGTCCATCAATATATCATCCCCAAACTAATAAATTGATGGAGTTTTCAACAGGACCCTTAAAGCCATGCTTCAGTGGTGCATGCAGGAAGGCCCACAGTGGTGGGATTTATTGATTTCCCCCCCTTGTTATTTGCAGTAAGGGAAGCACCCCAAGCCTCACTGGGCTATGCCCCATTTGAACTAGTTTATGGGCATACCCCACAAGACTTGTTGGATGTTGTGCAGGAAGGATGGGAAAGACCAGAGAGTGAGGGGGCCACTACATCCCAGTGTGTGCAAATGCTGAGAGAGAGGTTGCAGAAAGCTAACCGGGTGGATGGAAATAACTAGAGAGAGACACAGAAGAGGCAAAAACAGCAATACGATAAGAACACAGGAGAGTGATAGTTCCAGGTGGGACAGAGCTGCCCAGCTCCACGAGTAAGTTCCTGACCTTCTGGCAGGGGCCTTTCCAGATTGTCTGCTGGTTGGCCCAGTTGACTACAAGGTACTGCATCTCAGACATAGGCGAGAAAAACAGATATACCATGCCAATCTGTTAAAGTTATGATGAGAGTCAGAGGAACTGCTGGTTATGCGACTACTGGAGAAGGAAGAGTTGGGGAGGGTGTTAGAGGAGCCAACAGGGAGCTTGGAAATCAGGGGGGAAGTTCCCATACGCCAAGACCTTACTGCTGAGCACTGGAGGCAACTGGTGAGGCTAGTTCAGGACTTTGCCAATGTGTTCAGTGAGATATGCGGTAAAGCCCAAGATGCAGTACATAAGATTGTGATGCCTGAAAGGGCTATAGTAAGAGAGAGATGGTGATGGATACCCTACCATCAGTATCCAATGGCAAAGGAAGAGATGAAGAAAATGCTGTTACAAGGGATTATCAAGGAGTCCTGGAGCCCCTGGCGTAGCCCAATAGTGATGGTCCCGAAGGCTGATGGAACTTTGTGGCTATGTATCAACTTTCGCAAACTTAACACCATCACACAATTCGACGCGTTCCCTATGCCACAAGTAGGGGAATTACTGGAGAGGATAGGGCAAGCCCAATGCACCTCAACTTTTGACCTAGCCTAGGGGTATTGGCAAATACCTTTGCGCCTGGAGGACAGAGCCAAAACAGTGTTTGGGACCCCTTGGAGACTACAAATTCTGTATGATGCCACTCGGTGTCAATGGGACAGCAACAACCTTCCAGAGGTTGATGGATTGGGTATTGGCCCCACACCACCAGTACACCACTGCCTATATCAATGATATCGTGGTATACACTGAAACGGGACTAACATGTGCGAGCGGTCCAGGTGGTATTGCAAGATTTGAGGTAGGCGGGCCTGATGGCCCATCGCAAGAATTGCACGCTGGTGCAATCGGAAACCAAGTATCTGGGGTTTCTGGTAGGGCAAGGCCGGATTAAACCCTTGGCCCATAAGGTGGCCATTATAAAGAAGTATGAGATTCTGCAGACTAAAAAGCAGATGCTGGCATTTCTGGGCTTAGCAAATTACTAGAGGTGATTCATTCCCCACTTCACAGGACTCATGGTTCCCGTCACAAACACAATCAGAGGCAAAGGAAGTGGAGTCATTAGGCTGGGGGAGGAGCAGAAAAAAGCCTTTGAAGAATTCAAATGAGCCCTGTGCCAAGAGGTGGTGTTAAGGACTACGGATTTTGCAATGCCATTTGTCCTACAGGTTGATGCATTGGGTCAACCACTTGGGGCAGTTCTGTCCCAGAAAATTGAGGTAGCAGAAAGACCAGTGGCTTACTCCAACAAGAAGCTCAATGAGCAGGAAAAGAGATATGCCACAATTGAGAGAGAATGTTTGGCTTTGAAATGTGGGGGGTACAGTATTTTTGTTATTATTTGCTTAGCCTAGAGTTCATGTTTATAACGGACTATGCCCCTTTGAAACAGCTCAAGTTGGCCAAAACAGACAATGCGTGCATCACACGCTGGGCCTTACAGCCATTTCAGTTCACAATAGAATAAAAACCAGGGAAAAGCAATGTAGTAGCTGACTTTCTGTCTCGTTGCCATTCAAGGAAGGCACCAGAGATCAGGAACACTTGGGGGAGACATCACCACCAGCAGGTAGGTAATAAGAGAAGGTTGCCTAGCGGCATCTTGGGGGGGAAATATGTGAGACGGGAAGAGAGAACCCCCCCCAACTTGCTTCATGCCCCCCCCCTCGACTTGCCCCATTATTTACCGCAGGGGAAGTGATGGACAATAGCTGTGGCAGGGCACTGAGATGGCAGGCTCAGGCATGGCAGTTTCAGAGCTGCCTGAGCCTTCAAATCAGCAGTGAAAGGGGGTGTGGCCAGATGGAGGCATGGACCATTCAAAAGGCAGCTGGGAACAAAGCTGGCGCATGCCCAGGAAGGAGACAGCACACTGATGGGGAAATGCCAGGAGATGCCACCGGAAGAAGCCCGGGGAGTGCCACAGTGCATGGCACTGGGGAGGCAGTGGCATGTCCAGGAGATGCTCTGGGAGGAGGGTCTGGCCAGGCCATTGGGTGCGGCAAAGAAACTCTAGTAACACGCTACAGAGCCTCAGAAGGAGGCAGAAGCCCCACGGTGGAATGTGGTAAGAGAGAGGTGTGCGGCATGGGGGCCTAGTGGAGTGGGCCAAGTGCTGCAGCAGCACAGAACCCACTGGGGACCCACGAAGAGGGGCAGATGCCAGGGGTCACACTGGACGGCGAGAGAGGCAATGGCACAGGGCTGCAGGGCTGTGCCAGCCTGAGGCCGATCCAGGAGGGAGAGCTATGTGGAGTAGCCAAAGCCAATGTTGAGGGCAGTGCCAAGAGTGGACTGGATAACCCAGCCTCAGGTCAGATGGGGCTGAGGTGGGAATGGGTGGGTACCCAGAGGAGGGCCCAACAAGACAATTGCCAGGGGCGCAGCAAGGAGCCACTGAGGCCAGCAGGCAAACCTTGGACGGGAGGAGAAAAGTCCTAGCTGGGACCTGTGGGACCTGGGAGACGAGACCCAGGGCCCAGTCAGTGGATGCTGATTATTTTCTGTTCTATTGTCATTATCCTTAAGTTCATTTTCTGTCACCGTCAGCATTATCCTTGAGTTCTGGTTACCTAAAGAGTGAGGTAAGTATTGTTGCAAAGGCCTGAGCCCGTGGTCAAAGGACGGCCTGTGAGGAATTTACGGCAACGAGGTTGGCACCCTCAAGAAGTGGGATGCTGCAGGTGAGAAGACATCACCTATAAATTAGACCTCCAGAGATCAAGGGTCTTCTTGGCTGTGGATGTGGTGAGGGTGGAGTAAAGGGGAGGTTGGAGCCCCATGATGGAACCAAGGTATGAGATTTCACAAACCACCTGCTGGGAACTGTCTCCCAAGAGAAACATCAAAGGTGTGGCAGGTGAGCAGGAGCAGCAATTGGATCACGTAGGTGGTGCCATATCAGGATCCCACCCTGACATCACTGGGGTGGGGGTGGGGCAAGGCACCAGTGAAGAAGGGGCCTAAGCCCTACAATACCTACCAGCAACATTCTGCTATGGACTTTTTATGTAATTCAGGATCTTTGAGCCTTAGCACCTTATTCGTAAAATGGAGCTAATAATGTTTTCCTGCTTCTTAGGGGCATTATGAAGATACCTGTATTAGAGGTTGTGAGGGTCCAGATAAATACTTAGGATTAATATATTGCACACAAGGTTCCATTAAAGATATTAAACAACTCATATGTATTTTAGATCATTTCTACAGCATATGCAGAATTTCTATACTTGAGGATGTGGAAATGTTTCACAAGGTTTTACCTTAGATCTGTTTTTACACTGATGTAAAATTAAAGTAGTACAAACTTGTGTGGGATCATACTTTTTATATTGTAAAAGTTGCTTATTTTGATTTACCTTAAATCTGTTCTCAATTAATTTAAGATAAACTGAATAAGCCTTGCTTAAACTGAAGTATGCGCGTCCACACACGACTTTTAACCAGTTCAAAATCATAACTTTTAAGTTAAATTTGGGTAATTTGTTGCTCTAGGTAAGCCCTAATGCAGCAAGGGGAGAAGTTGGAGAAATAATGAATTGGATTCCCTTAGTGAGAAACCTTCATGTTTTGTTTCCATTTACTTTATTTTTGTAACTTGTTTAGCTTTATATTTTAAATGGACTATAATTTTCCAATTGTTTTGAGCAGGATGAGGAAGAGAGTCGTATAATTCCAGGGAGCTGTTTTTAGCAGGCGTATTGAAATTGTCATGAGAGTAGTTTCCTTTATAATTTTTTTGGTCACCACCCTTCCTCTTGGAAATCTGAAACTTTTTTTCCTCCGAGTTGAATAATTCTTATGATGCAGTAGTATCCTGCAGCTTGTTGCAGTAGAGAGTGATTAAATTAATATGTACTATGCACAGATTTGATCTGCTTCATGTAAATTCACATTTTTCCTTTTTTTTTTCTTTATTTATTTTATGGGAGGGAGGAGAAGGAAAGGATCTTGCACACAAGCCTGTGAGTTTCTGAGATTCTCCTTACTTGTTGGGCCAGATTCTCCTGTAGTGTAAAACTTCAGGAGCTTTCAGTTTATACCACTTGAGGATTTAATCTATTTACTTATCCCACACCTTTGCTGTTACATCATAATGGGAATTCTGGAGTAAATGAGACTGAAGATTAAACATTTTTGGTTTATGTTCCTAGAGCTAACCTATCAATCATTGATGACCAATTTTTATTTGTGATTCTTTATTTAGTACAGTTAGGACCCTGTGTATTCTGCAGCACACTGGACCTAAATTTGGCACAAAGAAACATTCTGTATTCAGCTGCCTACCAATTGAATTTTGTATCAAATGACATTTCTCCAGTGTGAAATACAAGGGATTTAATGGAGTTTTCAGCGAAGTAAAAATGAAAGGATACAATCTTTGGAGTTTGAGACTCTTCTGTAAATATAGAAGTGAGACTACTATTCCAATGAAACAAGTTTGTTTAGAGTTGGTGATTTTTAAGTTTTATGTTACACCGCCTAGGACAACAACAGACCCCCACACCAGGGGGACGAGTTAGACCTAGAATTCTCGAGAAAGCTTTCAGAGGTGGTGCGTTCAAAGGACCTGGTTGTCATGGGTAACTTAAACTTCCCAGACATCTGCTGGGAGGAACAGGCAGCCAGGTCTGCCCATTAACTTAAGTTTCTAACCTGCTTACAGGACCATCACCTGTAGGAGGTAAATGTTCCCACTAGGGGAAATGCCTTACTAGACTTGGTGCTGGCCACAGGGGATAGCTTGGTGGGGGATCTGCAGGTACAAGGTAGCCTAGGGGATAGTGACCACCTATTGATAGAGTTCACTGTCTGGCGAAAGGTGGGGAAGATAACTAGTAGGGCGGAAGTGCTAGACTTCAGGAAGGCCAACTTCAACAAACTCAGGAGATTAGTTAGGGAGGGACTGACGGGTGAATGCATCAGAGATGGAAGTCCAGAAAGGGCAGGCATTTCTCAAGGAATTGATCCTGCAGGCACAGAAAGGG